CTTTAATTTATGTCCATATTTCTAATTCATGTTCAGTTTTAATTATAGGGTTAAACTAGTAATTTCATAGGATTTTGGTTGACAATGAGAATTATATTAATATGTAGTTTATATAAGGTACATCACATGACTCAGGTGTCACATCCTAATCTCGACTCTGCTGTAGCACGATATTGTTTGCTTTGGGCCCCGGCCACGCCCTCAAGGTTTTGTTTTTGGGACCTCAGACGAGAACTTCCCAATGGGTCATCCATCATGGGAATGCTCTCGCTCGAACTCGCTTAACTTCAGAGTTCCAATGGAATCCGAAGCCAGTGAGTTCCTAAAAGGCCTCGTGCTATAAGAGGTGGGCATGTACATATAAGGCACATCACCCCCTCTCTGTTGATCGATGTGGGATGTTACAATCCATCCCCTCTTAGGGACCCGACGTCCTCGTCGACACACTCGCACCGAACGGCAAAGTGGCTCTGATACCATTATGTCACATCCCAGTCTCAATTCCATCGTAGCACGATATTGTCCGCTTTGGACCCCGGCCACGCCCTCACGGTTTTGTTTCTGGGAACTCAGACGAGAACTTCTCAGTGGGTCATCCATCCTGGGAATGCTCTCGCCCAAACTCGCTTAACTTCGGAATTCCAATGGAATCCGAAGCCAGTAAGTTCCCAAAAGGTCTCGTGCTATAGGAGTGGCCATGTACATATAAGGCACATCATCCCCTCTCTGTTGATCGATGTGGGATGTTACATTAGGTTCTTTTGAATCATTGTATATGAGTTCATCGGTGTTCACTTTTTTGGTTCTGTTTTTTAAATCCTGAATATTTTATGTATATTCTCCAATATTTCTTCTTATTTACCGTTTGATGTTTCAAGTCTGTTGCCTGTTGGCATGCTTCCTTTGTTTCAGATGGGAGTCAACTCAATTGGTAAGCCATTTATTTCAATCTTTGGTCTCTATGATTTGTCCTCAAGAATTAACATTATTCTCTCAATTGGTACTCCTGGCATGCCAAAGTACCAACCCGACATTTTTAAGATTTCAGTATTATATGTTTAGGGAGCGTATTGTTTGGAAAATCGTATTTATGGGGAAGGTGCTTTCATTGATCTAGATGAAAGACCAAGAACAGGCTCTTCTCCATTTGGAGAGCATTTAACTTCAAGGAAAATATTTACTTATTATGTTGTGAACTAGTAAGGTGAGGTTCACTATGTGTTTTGAGTGTTCTACTATGATGATAAATTTTCTTTTGTGAGGTTAATTGAGTTTTATTCCTCCTTTCTTTCCATAATTTTCAAATGGTCCTATTTAGTAAGGTGAGGTTCACTATGTGTTTTGAGTGTTCTACTGTGATGATAAATTTTCTTTTGTGAGGTTAATTGAGTTTTATTCCTCCTTTCTTTCCATAATTTTCAAATGGTCCTATTTCATGATGTTTTTTTTTCTTTTTCTCCTCATTGTTAAATGTTGCTTGACCTCTTTATTGAGACTGATTTTTCTTTTCATCTTAGTGAAACATATATCAAACCAACAAAATTGTGGAAGCCAAATTTATGGTTAGGAAAATGTTGAAATGCCTCTGTGAGTCTTTTCGGCCTCAAAATAGATGAATAACATTGGCTTGCCCACCAGTTATCTCCCTTTAAAAGAAAAAAAAAACACAAATAAAACCATGGTGGTGGGAGTAATCATTCTAAGGTTTGTATTTGAACGTGATGATATGCCTTTCGTTTACTCTTTGTAGCCATTGCTCATTTACATATTTGCGTTTTGCTATATACTTTGTCAACGAAGCACAACAAAAGGGTACAAGTCTACACCACCCGCCAAATGTAAAACTGAGAGAAAGAGTTTGGGTTTTAGCAAAGGGATTATGATAAAAACCACACATGGGGGATTTGACTAAATGGATTCACCTAAAAAAAATATTAGGATGTAAGGATGTTTAATAAATTGTCCTTTTTATGCTATTCGCTTTTGTATCGTTAAAAAGATTTCTCAATATTACATAATGTTTTCATCATTTTTTTCTCATAGTTTTAAATCAAAATTGGTGGAATTGTGCGGTGTGGGACAGAATTGATTTTTTATTTTTTTTAGTTTTGGTTCCGTAATTCATTTGGTTATTTTTTTACTTCTTTTGCAGAGAGTTGGACATCAATCACGCCAAGATTTTATGGAACTTGAATGTATATGGTTTTGTTTGCAGAGTTTAAGAATGATCACACGCTAGCTTTTTTTTGGGGACGACGGGAATATTCTGTAAATAAATAAACCAGTATCATGACTTCTGTGAGTCATGTTGTAACATTCCACATCGTTCAGGGGAGTGGATCCTCTAAACCTTATATGTATATTATCATCTCTACCTAGCACGAGGCCTTTTGGGAGCTCATTGGCTTCGTGTTCCATCGGAACTCCAAAGTTAAGAGAGTTCGCAAGAGAGCAATCTCAAGATGGGTGACCCGGTGAGAAGTTCTCGTGTGAGTTCCCAGAAACAAAACCGTGAGGGCGTGGTCGGGGCCCAAAGTGGACAATATCGTGCTACAGTGGAGTCGAGCCCGGGATGTGGTGGGGGCCTGGGCCGAGATGTGACAATTTGGTATCATAGCCAATCCCTGACCAAAAGTATGTCGACGAGGACGTCGGGCCCCTAAGGGGGGTGGATTGTAACATCCCACATCGCCCAGGGGAGTGGATCATCTAAACCTTATATGTATATTCTCATCTCTACCTAGCACAAGGCCTTTTGGGAGCTTATTGACTTCGGGTTCCATCAGAACTCCAAAGTTAAACGAGTTCGTGCGAGAGCAATCCCAGGATGGGTGACCCACTGGGAAGTTCTCGTGTGAGTTCCCAAAAACAAAACCGTGAGGGCGTGGTCGGGGCCCAAAACGGATAATATCGTGCTATGGTGAAATCGAACCCGGGATGTGGTGGGCCCAGGCCGGGATGTGACACATGCAGTATATCAGATGTCTACCTTAAGTGGGCGGGTGAAAAATAATTTTGAATTCGTGTAAGTTGGAAAAGATTTCATAGCCTTATATGGCAAAAAGTTCTATGAGCAATTTGCAAAAACTTTCACCATACTCACATAGAAAAAAAGGAAAACTAATGAAAAGGGCTTGAAAACTTTGAGTTTTAATGATAAGGACAAAATAAAGGGTAAAATGAATAGTACCAGGATTGACTTTTTAGTGTAAAAATGTGGTTTTTCATTAAAGTGAACAGTACCGGGTACTTTTCGTTAAAGTTCCCTAGAAAAAATAAACAATTTGCATCTCTAAATAATATACAAAGTATGACGCAAATGTTATTTCTGAACTTTCTAAGCAACTATTTTGTTACTTATTTTAGGACCTTATTTTATCACTATTTTCAATTAATATTTTGAACAAAAATATACAAACCATGATGTCTATATCTTAAAGGATTCTTCTTTCACTTACGTCACACAAAAATACTAAAATTTGAAATGTACACATCATTTGAATAAAAGAAAAAACTATGACAGACACGAAAGCTAACTCAAAATTTAACTGCTAAAAAACAGCTGAAATCAGTGAGTCACGACTAACATGCTTTGATTAAATAAAAGACAAATTCCATGCACAAGAAGGATAAAAAGAAAAGGAAATGCTCATCAGCACTAGGAAAAAGTCATGATGCCATTCTTTTTGTTTTATTTTTCACTTTAGGAATGCTAGCTCGTTCCTAGCACTAGAAAAAGAGAGTGTCCTGTGACTTTTGGGAATGCTAATACTCGCTAGTAGCTTTCGAGAAGGAAAATGATATTTGTAAAACTACAAAATGGTGGGACATCAGCGATAATAATTCATATTTTACTTTCAACTTAAATATTTGAAAGTTGTTGTTTATTTCTTTGTAAAATACGTCAATAAATCATACATTTATTAAGAGATCATTCGATAACTATTTCGTTTTTAGTTTTTAGTTTTTTACTTTGAATTTTTATTATCTTGAAAATTGAATTATTTTTTGGTAACTAGTTTTTTTTTTCTGTTTAAAAATAAAAATGAAGTCTAGCCGAATTTTGAAAACTCAAGGTAATTGTTTGAAAACTATTTCATTTTCAGTTTTCAGCTTTTTTTTTTTTTAACTAAAAATTTGTTTGGTAACTGCTTTTAGTTAAAAATAAAATGAAAACTGAAAACCAAAAACCAAAATGTAAAAACTCAAGAAAATAGTTTTTAATTTTCATTTTTCTAAAAACTGAAAACGAAAAGTAGTTATCAAACAATATTTTAGTTTTCATTTTAAAACAAAAGTAAACAAAAACTGAAAACTAAATGGTTATCAAATGTCCCTTAAGTTATTCAATCTAATCAATGTGACCATGGTGGGTTGATAAAATTAGGACGGAATATTTTTGCTCAGCACCTTTAAGTTATGGTAATGTTCATCACTCTATATATCACTGTTAGATGAGTTTAATTTTGGAGATTTGTGTGACGGATGGACACAAATCTCTAAATTTAAGATAATCTAATGGTAAAAGATAGGGTAACGAGCATTATCACCACTTGAAAGTGGTGAGCAAAAATGCACTCAAACTAGGATATCCAGTTTCCATGCCCAAATGAAGGTAATTCCTTCGGGCTCTCTTAATCTCTCCGATTAACAGTGGATTAAAATAGCCTTTTGCTTACATTTAAGATAAGATGTTGGTTTGGAAAAGGAGGAAGCAAGTGCGAAGGAGCTCCCAAAATACAGAGACTAAAGAACATACGACGATTATTTTCATTTCAAATTCAAAACACTCATTAGAGAGCGAGCACAGTATCTTGCATTGTATCTATCAATAAACATAGAAACGAAATGGTCACAGTTGCTACCTATAGAACCCAAAGCACACACAACTAAACAGAAGAAAGGCTCCAGAGAGCGTACTTAAAAGCCAACAAAAATAAAGAAACAGATCGTTCCCCTAACACGTATTCGGAGGATAGAAGAAATAACACAAGCAGAAATAACGAGAATTGATAGGAAACAATGAGCCATCAAAACTAGTGCTCCTCAACCAATTTGATCAATGAAACTGTGAAATGGCACAGACGGCTTCTTAAACCTACCTTTTCACCGGTCTTCAAATAATCCAATCGACCCATAGTTTTACATAACATGGCCAAAAATGGTTTTACCAGAGATATAAAGTTATGCTCAAACTACACACTGCGTTTGGGGTGGGGTGGTACAATACAACACTGCCCCATTGCATAAAAGGCTTAATACAAGTTTTGGGACACCCATCTGTACGGGCAAGCCAATTTTGCCCTTTCACGAAACCTAATGCCTAGCACTATTATTTATGCTACGAGTCTATGACTAAAAAAAATGATTTGATCTATTCAGTTGGGAACCTTATTCAAAATATTCATTCACCATGTGATATCATTGCCAACTTTATAATCAGCAACTTACTTGGTGGTCATTGTTTGGAGCTGCATAATTCTTTTATCCCAGATCCAAACTCTTTTTCATGGACTCATAAACCATATAAGTAATGCTTGCAGATGGAACTACTTTAAGAAGATTAGGAAATATTCCTTTGTAGAATCCTCTTAACCCTTCATGTTGGAAGGTTCTCCTGAATACATCACCCATTCCCATATATTCAGTGTGCGCTTGCATTCTGAAAACACATAGAAAAATTACCGTCAGTTTAAAGACACTGACTTGAAAGTTACAAAATATCATAAAAATCATTTCAACAAGATATCGATATTTCCATAATGCACCTTGTCCTGACAACCTGTAACGGATAAACACAAGTTGCACCAAGAGCTCCTGATACTGTCCCGCATCCCAATTGTACAAGAGCACCAGGTTCTGTTAAAAACAATCAGAACAAAAAAGAAAAAGAAAAAATTACACCATATAATATAGTGGCAGAATTGGGGCAAAACACAATAAATTAGTGCCTAAAAATGATGAGGACAAGTAAACAAATTTGCAATCCAAGTCCTTACCCCCGTCATGCACAATATATTTCTTGGACATATCTTTCAATGTTTCATAAGCAGCAAGATCAATGCCAGCATAAGGGACAATCCCAAGCAAAGATGGGACAACACCCTTATAAAATGCCCGGGGTCCCTCCTGAACCCATATATCTCTAGACAGAGTTGTAAGACTTGGAATTCTCCTGCCTTCGCCAGTATAAGTTTGGATTCGTGTCTTAACAAGATCCATGGGATATACCACAGTTTGTGCCACAGCACCTGCTAAGCCACCAGAAACAAGGCGAGTTGCAGTGCTGACATTAGCCTTATCTTCTTCACCATTAGCATGGACAATAAATCTTTTCAGCATTTCATAAGTGTAGAACCTGATGGCGCTTTCAGGAGCCACCTTCAAGACATTTAATCCATTGCCACGAAAAAAGCCCAATAAGCCCCCTTCTCTCCATATATCCTTTACTGCTGGCATAATTCGAGCTCGTTTTGTTTGTACTTGCAAAATAACCTTTAAACGATCAAGAGGAGCGGTAGCTGTACGTGATGTTGCCCCTGCTACTGCTCCAGCAATCAAATATCTACTAGCATGGACGTGCTTACTGGTGACCCCTGGGACAATAGTCTGCTCCCCAATATCAACAAGGCATACCCTTTCCAAATAATGATAAATATTCTCAATGGTTGCCTCCTGAGGGTAAAGTAGAAGAAAATCTCTCCATTCTTCAAATGTTATAACACCATTATTATCCTTATCAACACGCTCAACAAAAAGTGCAAGTTCCTCGTCATCAATTTCAATCCCTGCAAAAGAGGGGCTGATGTGGCTTATAGAAGGAACACAATCCAGCAAAGGAAAGCCATGTTTGTGATAAGAGAGATATTTTGAAGTCTTAACGGGATACGAACATGAAAACAAACATTTACAGAATGATTATACAAAAATAGAAAAAGATAGAGACGATTTACAGGCTTGTGTTGACATCTTTGAAACATTCAAGAATGAAAGCACAATGATTGTACAAGGAGATGAGAAAGAACGAAAGGAGTAGACATGAAAGTATGAGGGAAGGGAGATATAGTAAAAATGAAAAAGAGTAGCAGCATTAGTTGCAGTACTAGCACTAGTAGAGTTGGTTATATGGAGATACCTGCCCTTACAAGTGCATCCCAGAGCTCTTCAGGCAGAATGCAACCATTATGTTCGACATCTATTGCTTGAAAGATACGATAGAGCTCAAGCTCTTTATCGTCCATGTAGCGCTTAAAATCTTGGTAGTCGACACGGCCATCTTGATTGGCATCGCAGACATTCAACAAATCATTGGCATACTTGTACTGGGAGGGTATGTCGAGGGCAGAGAGGCCGGCTTCAATGTGGGCATAGTCCAAATAACCAACATTTGCGGTGTCAAAGAAGTTAAAGAGAGTGCGGATTCTGAGCTCCCTCTGCTCCTTGGTCTCTCCCAGGGCCAAAAGCACGTGATCCATGGTCACAGGCCCGGTTTTCTTAATGGGATTGCAGGCATTTCTTATTCGGCCTAGCTTTTGGTTGCTGCTTGGCATTGCGTCCTCCTCCATTGGCATAATAACTTAATCAATCTCTCTCACTCTGTCTAATGGAAAGGAAACTTGACTTAGTTTAGTTACCATGGCATGTGTGTGTGTGTGTATATAGAGAGATCATATGATGAATTGATGATATACAAAAACAAGTATTCTATTCTGTTGTATTTACTCAAATCAATTATTGCATTCTATTTACTTAAATCTGAGAAGTGGCACCAAATGGAGGAGGAAAATTCGAATTTTCTGGAATTGAAGGGTTAAAAAATCACATTACAATCAAGTATAAACGGAGGAAGATTAAGGATGAGTGAGAAGTGAGAATTACCGAGTGGACGGAGTCGAATTTCGAATGCAGCAAATGAAAAGCCAGGTCGAAGGTGCGTAATCGGCCATTGCTCTTCCGCCTCCTCTTCACAGTTGAGATGATCGTCGGGGATCGTCAGAAATCATCAGGATACAAGAAGAAGAAGCTGCCAATCCCCATCCCCATCACACACCTCAGATATCATCCTACGATTTGATTTTTGATTTTTTTATGGGTATATAAGATATGTTCTGTGTACTCTATAATTCTACTTTTCTTTTTCACTATCCAAAATATCAGTAAATAATAATCAATAAAAAAAATTAAAAATATGATTGTGATCAGTCCAATCGGACGAAGAACAGAAAAAGAGGTTGCAAGTCGCAAGTGCAGACGCAGACGCAGCGTGAGGATGTTGGATTTTTTCTATATGTTTTTCCTGAAAAAAGAATTATTTAAGGGGGGGGCTATTGAGCTGGCGTCCAACTGTAGCGTAAGTTTTGCGCTCCCACTTCGCTTTAAAAATGGAGGATTCTAGCCCCCGAATCTTCGACATGAGGCCCGTCCAACAGCCCAAATCATCACCGTCTGGACCCAACCCAAATAATTTCTCACTTGACTCAATATGCACGGGTAGGTTTTACTTTTTAATGAGCCGTGATAAACGATGATATTTTCAAGCGTTTATGTTGAATACATCGTGTTTGTAACGTAGTCGCACGTACAGGCAGAAACATACCAGAAATGACAATTAAGCAAAGCACATTTACATCATATTCATGATTCTATAATATATATATATATATATACACACACACGTACAATTACCAAGAGCAAGCAGCATAACCAACAAAAACATGCATCGCGCGGGGATGAATAATGACCTCTAATCCAAATGCTGCTGCCTTGGCTGCATTTAGTTACTTCCCTCTCAAGACAAAGTTCCGTTGCTGCAGGGCAATTCTACTTTTCTCGATCCGCTGCTGCCTGCAGCAACCTTTCTTCTGACTTCTTACTCAATCATGTCCTTAAATGTCTCTGCCACTCGGGTCTTTAGCTTTGACGTCTCCGCCTCACAATGAGACTGCTAGCTGGTACTCTTAAATCGAAGCAGCTGCCATTTCAATCACTCGATCGAGAAGCCTCCGGTTGAATACATGAAGGTTGCGGGTGAATCACAGCCACCGGGCCGTACGTCGTCTGGAGCACTAACTAATAACTGTTCTCCCATTTCATATCATGTACGAATGAATCATTTTGTTATTACTACTCTACTGTTTGATTGATTAATATAACTTATAAGATCTGAAATTTTAAGTGTTGGAGGGACACTTTAATACACTAGCGTGCAATGTATCGGACACAAAAACGGACACGACATTCCTCGGACACGGCTGGACATGTGTCGTGTCAGACACTCCATGTGGCGTGCCATTGACTTTGACAGGGGAACACACCTCGGATTCTCTATAGACATGTGTACGCAGGACATGGTCAAGACACTATCAGAGGACACGTCGAGGGTAATTTGTTGAAATTAAACTTTAAAGACCAACCCTAGGTTTACATAGTTGTATCCGAGATAAATAATAATTAGGGAACTTTAACGAAAAGTTTCCAGTACTGTCTATTTTAACGAAAAATCATATTTTTACACCAAAAAGTCAATCCTGATACTATTTACTTTACCCTTTATTTTGTCATTATCGTTAAAACTCAAAGTTTTCAAGTCTTTTATATTAGTTTTCCTTAAGAATTATTGTTGTATTTTGTTAGCCATTTGTCACATCCCCGTCGTAGCACGATATTATCCGCTTTAGGCCACACCCTCACGGTTTTGTTTCTGGGAACTCAGACGAGAACTTCCCAATGGGTCACTCATCCTAGGATTGCTTTCGTCCAAACTCGCTTAACTTCGGAGTTCCAATGGAATACGAAGTCATTGAGTTCCCAAAAGGCCTCGTGCTACAGGGAGGTAGGCATGTACATATAAGGCACATCACCCCTTCTCCGTTAGTCGATGTGGGATGTTACAATCCACCCCCTTAGGGGCCCGACATCCTCGTCGGCACACTCGCACCAAACGGCAGAGTGGCTCTGATAGACCATTCTGTCACATCTCAGACCGGCTCCGCCGCAACACGATATTGTCTGCTTTGGGCCACGCCCTCACAGTTTTGTTTCTGGGAACTCAGACGAGAACTTCCGAGTGGATCACCCCATCCTAGGATTTATCTCGCCTAAACTCGCTTAACTTCGAAGTTCCGATGGAATCCGAAGCCAATGAGTTCCCAAAAGGTCTCGTGTTATAGGGAGGTGGGCATGTACATATAAAGCACATCACCCCCTCTTTGTTGGTCGATGTGGGATGTTACACCATTCTTTGTGCCTCAAGTAATAGTAATGTCCGGTTGTATTTACTAAGGCAATAAGGGATTCTTGTAAGGACGTAATACTTTAGTAGACTAGTTATGGAGATTAGGATTTATTAAATCTAGTAGTGGGTAGGATTCGAGAAGCACTAAGCACTATAAGGTTGAGATCGCTATGCATATTGCTATCACAATCACGAGAAATTTTTCAATGTGATCGGTATACGAGGTGGTATACCACATGTTATTATATAAAATGGTGGGATATGTGTATTAAAAAATTAATAACTTAAAAAATAAAAATTTTCACCACTTATATAAAAACACATGATGTACCATCCGTGTTCCCGTCACAATGAAAATTTTCTCCACAATCACAAACCCTATAACACCCATCAGTTTGTGACTAAGGAGTAGGAGTGCATAAAAAAGCCTTCGTCTACCTTAGTCCTCGTGTTCATGTTCTCTCTGCAAGATCAAGATGTTTTCTTCTCCAAATAAGTGATTATGGTGTTTTGATGAGCATGAAACTGTTTGGGCCCAAAATAATAGTTTGGGCCGAGGGTAGGATCATTCTCGGCCCGGGAGGTCGTGCGGCGAAAGAGCCATGGATCGTTCAGCTCATGGGCTTCCAAGCCTAGGTCGGTTAAATCAGAACGCAAGTCGAGTCCTAGTACAACAGGGAGTCTCGACGGGATCAGTAATCCAGAAAGCGAATCCGGCTCAGTTAAAGACTAGGTTCGTAGTCCTAGTGAAGATAGGACTGGTCGAGGTGATGTTGATCCGGAGAGGGAAACCTAGTCCGAGTAGGATTTTAACCCGGACTCAAGGTCCAGTGCTATAAATAGGGGAAGCTGTGCATCAAGGAAGGCCCCCTGCAAATCAATACAAAATTGCCCTGCGCAAATTCTCACAACTTGTGATTTTTCTTTTTCCTTTTTCGCTGACACATCTTCCGTTGGCATCAACAGCACTGTGGAAGCAACCGGTGATATCTTAAGTCGGCATAGATAGCTCTGTCACCGTAGAGTCAGTCGGTCTCGCAGTATCTTCCGTTGGCATCAACAGCACTGCAGCGAGAACGATTGATTACCTATCCGAGTCTCGGTCGAGAAGGATTTCTGAATCTTTGTTGGTCGAGGTCATCTCATCAGCCTGCTCGGCAAAGTGAGATGTTACAGTTATTACATTCGGCACATTGAAAGCCGAATTTGATATTGAACTTCGTAAGAATAGTAACCTTGTCTTCAGGTTCGAGAGCCCAAGAGGCCGAGACGTGTTCCTTTCTCGGCCGCAATCGCAAGACGCAGAAGTCAGCCGCGCACCCAACGTAACATCAACAAAATTTACTCCTCGGCCGAGCTCGGCCGACGAGTTGGCACGCCCCGCATTCATCGAATGACGTAGTTAGCTTATAGATTACTCGGCCTGCGCGCCACGTAGGCTTTGTAGTTTCTAGGGTCAATAGAAACATATTAAAGCATACATAATTTTGAATTTGTATTGAAATACGAAAAATTGTTTTAGGGGTAATGCTAGAGATTGTGAACCTGTATCTTGACGAACCAAATTTTGAAGCTATATTATTTACCAATGATGACATGAATATCATTGTTGCTGAGAGATTTTTCAATGTAACTAGAACACGGGGTGACATCACATGTCCTTTGTACAAATGGTAGGATATGTGTATTAAAAGTTAATAACTTAAAAAAATAAATAAAATAAATAAATTTACCACTTATATAAAGACGCATAATGAGCTTTTACCTCTGGTAGATCCATTCAGGATAATATCCTCATGGCGCATGAACTTTTTGCCTCTTTTAAGAGTAAAAAAGGTAGAAGAGGTGCTATGACCATTAAGGTTGACCTTGAAAAGGCTTATATTAAAGGTGTGCTTGTTAAATTTGGTTTTAATTATCACTGAATCAAGCTTATCATGGATTGCATTACTTCGACATCCTTTTCTATCATGATTAATTGTAAATCTCATGGTTATTTCTGTCCTTCTAAAGGTATTAGACAAGGAGACCATCTGTCTCCTTATATTTTTATCATTTGTATAGAACCCTTGATTAGATACTTGGATAAGTTGGGAGAATCATCCAGAAGTAATGTTGGTCTGTTGACTACGCCTAGAGGTTATAAAATTACTAATCTGATGTTTGCGGATGACTGTCTGATTTTTTCCAATGCAATTGGCACTGTAGCCAGGAATATTGCTAAGGTACTAGATAACTTCGCTTAAGCTTCTGGTCAAAAGATAAACTATCATAAGTCTTCACTTTATTTTTCAAATAACACTCCTAACCATACCAGAATTGATATTGTTAATATTCTTGCTATTCAACATAAAACCATTATTGGTAGGTATCTAGGCATACATAATATTATTTTCTAGAAGGATCAAGTTAATGCAAAAGAACTAATTATCAAGATAAAAAACAAACTAGCTAGTTGGAAGGCAAATACCCTTTTCTCAAGCTGGAAGACTAACTCTCACTAAGGCTAACCTCTTAGGTGTCACCAACCATACTATGTCTTGTTTTAAGTGTCCTGAGAAAATCACAAAAACTATAGATAGAGAAAGTAGGAAATTTTTTTGGGGAAAAGATTGCAAACTTGTCCATGTGGCTTGGGATAAAGTTTGCAGCTCTAAGGAAAATGGGGATTGGGTATTAGGAAAAGTGATCACTTTAATAATGCTTGTTTAGCAAAACTTGGCTAGAAAGTCCTAACGGATAACCAAAATTGGTGGGTATAGATTGTTAAGAATAAATACTTGAAGAGATAGGATTTCCTTAACACTAAAGTCAGACAACACTACTCATGTGATGTGCCTGGAAAGGTATCCTTAAGGCTAGAGATAATATTAGAATGGGGTTGAGGCGGGTTGTGGGAAATGGAAAGAGCATCCTCTTTTGGACCCATAAATGGGCTTTTCCTTTCCCTTTATCCAACTTTATTTCTCCCATTCATGTTAATGATATCGATCTAAACGTAAAGGTGAGTCAATTCGTTAATAATGGACAATGGGACAGAGATCATCTTTGATCGCTAGTTGATGAGGACATTGTGAATAAAATTTGTAGTATTCCCCTCCCCTTAACTCCCCAATGTGATATGTGTTGATGGGGGCCTAATGCAAATGGTAAGTTTTCAGTTAAGTCGGCAACTTGGATACAAAATAGTGATAATAACAATGAGAATTTAAGAGAGCTTCTTAAGAAAATGTGGAAGCTCAAACTCCCTCATAAAGGTAAAAAAATTTAGTTGGCTCATCATAATTGGAAGGCTTCATACAATAGACAAATTATCAAGATATGTCAATAATATCCCGTCCACATGTCCTACGTGTAATTTAGAGGATGAGAACATATCTCACTTATTTATAAATTGTAATTTTGCGAGGCTAGTTTGGAATTGTCGAGCTATCTCTAACAACATTAGATTAAATCAATTTCTTCCTTTTAATGATTGGCTCAATGAATTAACTGTTAAGAATGATGCAGGTTGTGATCTCAGTAAAGTTTTACTAGTTTGCTGGCTGATTTGGAAGAAAAGGAATAAGGTGGTTTTCCATAATAAAATTCCAAACCCTACATGGATCGTTAACTCTACCCTCAATCTAGGAATGGAGTTCATAGGTGCCAATGGTATATTTCCTGTGGTTTACAATGGTAGCAGGTTCTCCCCGCCATCTTCTATCCGGTGGTCCCCTTGGTTTTGTTAAACTTAACTTCGATGGCTTTGTGGTGAATCAATGTGGGGCTGATGGGTTTGTGATTAGAAACGAGAATGGCGAGCCTATTGTTGCGGGAGCTAGAGGGTCAAAACACTATTTCAGTTGCGAAATGCCTGGCGTTGAGGGATGGCTAAAACCAAAAGCTTGGCTCACATCGTGGTGGAGGGTGATTCAAAGCTG